ATGCAAAGGAAGAAATTATAGTTTAAGTTCCAACTCTAGTCCTGGATTGCAGACCAAAGGATAATATTTCACTTACAACCAGTTCCTTAATGATTGTTCAAGATTACAATGGACCTACTTATGAAACAGATTCAAAATTAACACAGCTGCTGCTCCTCCACCAGTCACGTCACTGAAACCAGGTTGCATTTTTGACCTTTTTATTTATGGATTTGTATCCCGCCTTTATTATTTTTACCAATAGGCAGCCAATATATGCAACACACCTTCCTCCTACTTTCCCCACAACAACAATCCTGTGAAGTAGGTAGGGCTGAGAGAGAGTGACTGGCCCAAAGTCACTCAGCTGGCTTTCATGACTAAAGCAGGACTTGAACTCATGGTCTCCTGCTTTCTAGCCTGGTGCCTTAATCACTAGACCAAACTGGCTCTTCCTTAGACCATTTGCATTATCCCGCGGTCACATAACTCCAATTTACAACCCTTTTTTTGTGCCAGAAACTGCCTTTTCCTTCTGGTTTCTGGCAACAAACTACTATTACAATGGACAATGGATTAACTTAACAGCTTCGAGGTTCACATAAAGACTACGCCGTTTGCTTATGGCCACCACTGTTTAACAAGTGGCACAACTTACAACTATAATTCTTGACTCGATTATGGTCACAAGTCAAGGACTACCTGCAGTCTGATTCTTTTTCCAGTCTTGGGTTTCTAATCGGACTTTCAATACGGTTGTACTGTTCTGCAGAAGAAAGGGCAGTTGGATAATCCCAGGACATTTCCAATAAGAAGCAAAGTAGCACAGAGCAGCTCAGTGAGGGAGATATAGTACAAAAGTAACCCTTGTTCAAATAAATCCTGGTTTATGTGACAGAATCTGTCACAGCAGACCCATTCCCCCTTGCCTACATATATATTAAAATGACACACCAGCACTATGGTATCTAGGAAGCAGAATAAGTCCCAAGCAATATTTCAACACCTCCCCCCCCAAAATAATAATAATAATAATAATAATAATAATAATAATAATAATAATAATAATAATAATAATAATAATAATAATAATTCATTTCTTCTCAGCTGCTTTTCCTTACTCACCAAATCAACATTTCCAGTTCTGGACTGTTACCTGAATCATACAAGGCAACCATTTAAACACTCACAAAACCACATTCTGCAATACTGATGAAATAGGAATAATGTAGAAGAATCTTGCCCTGGATTTTTCTATTATTTCAAAACTTTCAACTAAATCTAAATCCGCAGTGAGACTGAAACTCAAGGGTCTGGTTGGAACATGCATTCCAGTGTGACATGAATGACTGCATTCGCCCATTATGGTGAGCCAGATCATGGTTTATTTGGTTTTATTTTTGCATTTTGCACGAACACAACCACAGTGGTTTCTATACCATGGGTTATGGCTTAATACATTGTCTGAATCAAGCCAAAAGTGATTTATTCAACAGCTATGGATACCTAAACATAAATCTGACAATCAAAGACTGTGTTACCAATAAACAAACTGTGGTTTAACAAAATGGTTGAACCCCTTGTGTCCATATGACGAAACCAGCAAAGATCAAGCAAAATGAATCTCCACGTCTCTCACTTTTTCCAGCACATTTATGGAGATAAGATAGTTAACCTATCTGTCTCGGAGTCACAAAAGCAATGTGTGCATGTGCAAACTGGCCCCTCAGATTAAGTCTTATCAAATGTGTATTGGTAAAACCACTACAATACTCATTGCATTTTCTTTGAATTCTGGTAAGGAATGAGTCACACACACACACACAAATGGAAACTGATTTGGTTAGATTATCTGAGTTTTAATGAGGTGATGCCTGAAAAAAAATCCCTCTGTATTATCTTTCCCATCCAGAAAACTGAGCAGTGACATATAACGGGATAGCGTCAAAGAAAAGGAAGCTCAGAGAAATGACTCACCATCTGTTACTCTCCCCAAAATCAAGAATCAGTTCTATATCAGCACAAGCCCACAGAGTTCAAGATTTCTCAAGGTGAGAAGAAAAGATATAAAGCAACTTTCTTCTCTGATTCATCAAATATCCGGTGCTCACATCTGCTTCTTCCGCAGGATTTTTATGTACTACCTATCTAAGCGGAAGAATAGCACGCAGAAGATGCATTGCTATGCATACAAACATATACATGTCCAATCCATCTCCCTTCTCTTCCCCATCATTTTTACGTCCCTTTGTTTCATTTTCTGGACTGAAGACCCTTGGGGGGGGGGGGCAGATATTCTTTGAGACATTGGGTTTTGGTCTATTAGCCCCCCCTTTTTTGCATTCATCCCACCCTCTTTCTGTAAAGCAGCTTAAAGAACAGAGTTTTAATAAGTTTGGGGAAATACCACATGCACTGGGTCTGGAAAGAGACCTGTGCATGTTCAAAAATTTGTTTTCACAATCTGTAAGAAATCCAAAAGTTCCTTCATAAATATCACCCATGAGGAAAAAATATCAGATACCAGTTCCTTGAAGTACAGCAATGTTATTTGAGAACTTCATAATAATAGTGCACAGATATACAGACACACATATTAATGTCTGTGGTAAACTGGTGGCCAGAAAGTCACCAGGCTAGAAACCAGGAGATGGTGAGTTCTAGTCCTACCTTAGCCAAGAAAGCCTGCAGTGTGACTTTGGCCAATCACCAGAAGACTGTAAGCTCTAGTCCCGCCTTAGGCATGAAAACTAGCTGGAGGACTTTGGGCCAATCACTGTCTCTTACCCCAACCACCTCACAGGGTTGTTGTAGTGGGAAAAATAAGAGGATGAAAGAGTACTAGTCATTTGGGGCTATTTATACAAATTATAAAGGTGGATTATAAACAAATATGAAATGTTGAAGGATGTGGAGGAAGCATATAGAGAAAACATATATACAAGTATAATAAAACCAGGGAACAATTGTCTTTGCATCACAACAATTTGCTTTTTCTGACACTTGAAATCCGTCTCTGTTTACCAGAAGATGGGACTGACTGACAAATGAGAAAATAACAGTCAAATGCTCAGAATACCAAGAACTTAAAGCCATGCTGATATAACACTCTTTTATTTTATGGCATTAAGCAGCAAAAAGTGTAAGAAATATTTCTAAAGCAGAATCTTAGAGTATGTTATTATATACACATTATTGTCATATATTTCATCTAGAAAAAATAGAAAAAGGTGTCATGGAAGGACCCTTGCAGATTTTTTGCTTATCAATCAAAAGTAATTATTTGCCCTGTATAGACATTCTTAAAAAATAAGAGATATATGGTTTCATTACTATCCTACAATAACGACATGTTGATCAACCTTTCACACAAATATCCTGCACACAATTATGCACTCAGGTTCAGCCTATACCCAAGGGTTAAGACAGGGTGGATTTACTTATAACATTATCAACAGATTTGTGCCCTAACTTAATCAACAAATTCCCTCACCTTAGGCATGAAAAACTGGCTGGGTGACTTTGGGCCAATCAGTCTTTCAATCCAACGACAGGGTTGTTGTTGTGGGGAAAATAGGACAAAAAGTATATTTGCAGCCTTGAGTTATTCATACACAATAATAAAGGCAGGATAAAAATCAAACAAATACATTTTAAAAATACACTTACTGAAAAAATGAATTTGTGAAGACACGCAATGATAAATAGAAGTCCAATGCCACTGTACCATTGACAACTGGATAAACATTTCTTTAAAAACTGAAAAGACGACTCTTCAAGAAAAATCAAGGGAAGGATAAACACGACCCCATAAAACCAATGAACTTCTCCTCCTTTCTGAACATAATTTGCAAGATACGTCAATTTCAATAAATCAAATATGCAGATTAGTGGAAGATTATAAACCAGCTGTTGCTTCCAAAACTGAGCATGAAACACTAATGTATGCATTTAACACAACTCCTTTATTACAGTGTTGTAAATGTCCCATGCAAGCTTAAAAGTCACACAGAAGTCTTCAAACTTAGTTGTTAAGAAACCCAAGTGATGAAACAAAAGAAATGATTGCTTAGCTATTTCTACTGACCTTTAGTTTAGTTTAGATAGACAATGCATATTGCTTCAGCCCTACAAACCATGTGAAATACTGAGAAAATCCAACATTTGCACGCTGAAATATGGAGGCATCAAATCTCAGAAATAGGGGGGAAAAGAAATTAATTTCTTGGGTCTTTGTCTTTTATCCTACAAAAATGGACTTCAACAATTTCAAAGGCAGGAGTCCTTATACCATCCTGAACAAGAAAAGTTTGGACAACCGTTTGTTCCATATAGTACATTATAAAGACTCCTGACATGAGCAAGGGATTGTGCTAGAACAATCTTGGCTACTTTAAGATGTGTGGACCTCAACTCCCAAAATTCCCCACCTTGGCTGGCTGGGGAATTCTGGGAAATGAGATCCACACATCTGCCAGGGTTGAGAAACAGGGTTGAGAAACATTAGGTCATTAGAAGACCTACAAGGTCCCTTCTAGCCCTATGATTCTATGAATCACTATTTGGAGAGAAATATTCTAATCTACATACTCTCAAAGCCACTTTTCATTTGACATTTTCCAGGCCTTTTCTGAAAGTGAAAAAGATTAGGGCAATTTAGCTCTACTAGTTTGAGCAAACATCCTAACGACCCTCAAACCCAACTTACATAAGGGGCAGAAAACGAACAAGGTTTTCCACATATATCCCAGTTTTTAACTATAAAATCTCTATAGTATTTGCATTTTTTTTTAAAGTGCTGATTCCTCTAATCTCTATAACCCAACAACTAAAGTGGTTAGAAACCCATCTGAGCTTGCCCTAAACATTTCAATACCTGAGGCTGAAAACATTGCACTCTATGCCGTTATAAATCGGGGACAGAATCTATTAAACAATCATTAACGATATTCAACATTTAGTGCTTTGCGAAGTCCCTCACTTTCATGAGGCATTTCGGAGAGGAAAAAGTGTTGACTTACTTTTCATACTCGATATTATCTTTGTCACATCGCTTGTCCTTGTGCTTCTCCCAGTCTTTCCCATGTCTGCATGTGGTCAGAGAAATAATATCTTTCCCATTATGGATGTGGCGGAGAGCATTCCGGGTGTCGGAACCAATGCCGGTCAGGTATCTCTTCCCTTTAAAAACCAAGAGATACTTTTTCTTGGGTGGGAGAGAAGTCTTGTATAACCAGCCTCTTTCCCCACCTTTCTGGGGATGTTCCTTCGAAAACAAAGGGATGGAGATATCAAAACCAGGCCGAAAGTTCTCGACATAAAAACTGGCTTTGGCCAGGATAGCCTGTCCAATGTCAAAGCCCAAGTCTTCAGTGTAATTAGGCCACGTGCCAGAATACAGGTTAAATATGAGGTGGTTTTGTCCGTCATTCCAAAGCCGGAAACCTTGGATTTTCTCGTTGATGTTATGAACATATTGTATGGAGAGATGGTCCCTATCCAACGTGTCGATGTTTAGAACAAACAGGCAGGCCTCCTCTGGATTGGAGGTGTAATAACGGGACTCTTCAATGGAGCTGATGATTTTGAGGTAACTTTCGGACACAGGATCCCCTCCTTCCGGGGGGTAAACGAAGACTTTGAACCCGTGTTCCCTACATTTAGAAAAATCAAAGCAAGTCTCCATACGGCACCTGCTGTTCTTGTAAACACTCAGCTTCAACTGCTGCCGGCTTTGGGGAGATTCATCCCCGTGGCCCCTTTCATTGCTCTGGAGCTCCTCAGAATCTGCGAAGTTCTTGAGAAGAATCTCATCGGCCCAATGAGGCCAGGTCTTTAAGACTTCAGCTTTTTTGCTGGAGAAAAAGGCAAAGTGTCTTATTTGGTCTCCTCCAAACAAAACAAGCAGAAGCCACGTGGCCAAGAGAGTCACGAACAGGTATTTTTTCTTGGCCTGCATGGGTTCATGCAGAACCCACCAAATCCTTATTTAGAAAGGAAATCAATCGGATCAATACAGCAATCCAGAAAGTGAATTATTCAGGCACAAGGGGGGACTAACTTCATTGGAGAGAAACAGGAGCTCAAACCTCGGAAATGGAGTCTAGAATGCTGCAGACGGCACTTTCTAAGGGTCCAATTTCTCTCCCCATTTTCAGATATACCCTAGCTTTGAAATGCACCACACCACTGTCACGAGTTGATTGGGTGGCTTCTTCAGTTCCAACAATTTGGTGTGGTTCTGAAACCTTTATCATATATATAATCTTTATTCCATATTTATTTCAGGCTGGGTAAACAAGCCTGAGTTTGATTACTGGTTTTTTTTCTCTCTCTCTTTATCACTTCCTGGTGCTTTTCTTTTTAAATCTTCAGTGACTGCCCTATCTTTTCCCCCTGAGGATTAGAAAAAAAAAATCGGTCATTTTATCAACTCACCCTTCCAGTTTGTGACTGTACTGGGTTCTTCTTTTGTTCTGCTATCAGATTTGGCCTGGCACAGCCCCCAGCAGACAATCCAACAAGTAACAGATAAAAAGTCTCATGGGATGTTTGATCCTTAAAAGATCCTTAATGGAGAATCTACCTTTCTAACCACTCAGAAAATTGGTTTGAATCCTATTTTATTTTTTTTTTGCTTTAAAAGAACAGATGAACCAAGCGACTGTCTTCTACTCTTGGAAAAAGGCAAAGAAACACTTACAGTCCCTAATTTATTAGATTCTTGGCACCAAGTGCTTTCCGATGGAGACATTTCTCTGCTCCCAAAGAAATAAACTCAAATCTTCACCCATCCAATAATCTTCAAGCCAAGCCATGTATTTTTCTGCGGTTTTCTTTTGCTGAATGAGTATAAACTATTCCTTTAAAGATAGGACTTTCAACAAGTTTTAACTCTCAACCTTCAAGCCCTCCCCGGTTGATCTTTCCATCACTTTCGCTTTTCTGGAACCCAGTTAATTCGCTCAACCCCTCCTTCAAACCTAAGTTCTTTTTTGTCCAGGTGCGGGTTTTTAATGATGCCTTTTCTCTCTTTGGCCGGAAAACTGGAGCTTTCTGCGCTTTGGTGCTTGTCCTTGGGTCATCCGAGGATTCTTCCGAGGCTCAGAGGCTCATTTACCCCGGGAGAGAGGGAATCAATCCGGCGGGAATCTCAGTGCCCTTAAGCGCACCTTAAAGCTTCCCGTTCGCCCTTCCTTCTCAGTCCGTTCTATCCTGCATTGTCCGCCCTGCCCGGCTTCCACGCCACCATCAATCGCCTGGCGAAGCCACAACCATCCACCTTCTCCGCCGCCCGTCAATCAGGGCATTGCGCGTCGCCGGTCCAGCTCTCGCTTTCCACCGCTGCGCTACCCTTCCTCGCCCGCCTTCGCAACTCAACGCGCAGCGTCCCACTTCCACCTTCACAACATTCCACCCGGCCCCGCCCCCTCGCTTCTGATTCGTCCCCGGCCCCCTCAAAGGGCGTGGCCGCTGCCTAACCCTTTCCTCCCCGAAGAGGGAAAGAGGGAAGGTTGCTCGTTGGCTCTTCCTGCCTGCCGCGCCCCGTCCGGGATGCTGGTCCGCGTGGGAAAATTGGAGGGCCGCGTTCTCCGGGTGGGGTGGGAGGAATTCTGGTCTCCAACTCGGGAGGGACGCTGAGAGTCGGCGTGGATTACTTCGGGTCGAGCCTGAGCCTCCCAGATGGAATGGGTTACTAATACTAACCTAGTCCGGGGTTTGGGGAGCAACAGTTGCCCATCAGACAAATAGAATAGAATGGAGCTGGAAGGGACCTTGGAGGTCTTCTAGTCCAGCCCCCTGCTGGAGATCCTATACACCATTTTTGTATTTATTTATT